TTCAAGGTGAAACATTACACTGGAAAGGCTGTTAGCTACAACGTCAACGGGTTTATCACCAAGAACCGTAACAGTCTCTACGCGGACGTTCTGAACTTGTTTGGAATCACAAAGAAGTCGACAAGTGGAAGACAAAAGCCAAAGAGCTTTATTGCGGGATTATTCACGGAATCCGTTATTGAGACGATTTTGCATCCTAATAATGAGAACGCTATCGTTGGCGCAAGGCCTGCTGCACCTTCAAAGCCATCGAATATTGCGGATAGACAGATTGACCCTGCACGTAAACGATCTGTGATGCTGCTATCTTCGCCTACCCTTGGTACCCCCGGTATTGAGGAGAAGGAACCCACTCTCCCAGCTCATCCCACCCCCACCGGTCAAAGCCAAGGCGCCATCTACACCCCCGCAAACACCAACACCACCCTCTCCCAACTCAAGACATCTCTTGAGGAACTCATCGAATCACTGCAAGCGAACCGAACGTGGTCGATTCTCTGCGTCCGTCCCAACAGTGAGCTGCAGCCGGACAAGTTTGATGAGAAGAGGGTGAAGGAGCAGTTCCAGGCTCTTCATGTGTCGGCCATTATTCAGGCGTCGCAAATTGATTATGCAGTCGGGATTGAGTTTGCGGATTTCCTTGACCGCTATGTTGATGAGTATGACGAGGAGGAGGAGGAGGGCGAGACACCTGCTGGTGGTGAGAGGAAGAGTGTTGCCAGGAGTGAGAGGAAAAGTGAGGTAAAGAGTGAGAGGAAGAGTGAGGTGAAGAGTGAGCGTGCACCTAGCCTCAAGGGTAGCATTCGCAAGAGCGTTGCAGACGGCGAAAGGAAGAGCGTCGTCAAGAGCGTCAAGATTGCTGAAGACGGCGAGGAGGAGGCTGCAGTGGAGAGTGGTGACGCTGACGAGAAGAGGAAGTCGGTCAAGAGTCAAGTTGAGGGTAGCGTTAAAGAAGAAGATGCTTCGCCTGAGAACGAAGACGAAGATGACGATGATGCACCCATAAACCGTGGTAGATCTGACCGTGACCGATGCGTTCGATTTATAGAAAAGGAGAGCTGGACGGCTAGCCAGGCTGTTTGTGGAGACACTCGTATCTTCTTGAAGGAGAAAGTTTGGAGAGTGCTTGAGTCGCGGCTGGACAAGAAGCTTGAGGACGAAACGGAGGGAGGAGGATCTACATTAGAACGGGTGAGAGGAGGCCTAACGGAAGCAAGAGTTACTTGTCAATCAACACGTCGGGTAACACGCTTAACAAGGTCGGCCTTTCTGTTGACACGAAGAACGCTGGGGATATTGAGAAGGGAATCGTCGAGCCTGTTAAGGAGGAGAAGGAGGACGAAGAGGAGGAGGAAACCCCCAAGCCCAAAAAGAAGGGATGTTGCGGACCAAGGGAAAAGAAACCCCCGTTGTTAAGGAAAGGCAGAGTCGAAGCCGTAAGTGTTGGTTGGGCTACACTTACTGCGTGACATTCTGGATCCCGAGTTCACCCTCATCTACCTTGGTAGAATGAAGTCAGAGAGTGTGAGATTGGCGTGGCGTGAAAAGGTCGCGCTCTGCATGATCGTATTGTTCCTCAGCGGTGTCATGTTGTTCTTTGTGCAAGGATTCGGAAAGCTATTATGCCAACACAAAACTTCTTCAGCCCTCAAGAAGTAGCTCAAAGAAACAAACCTGGAAACCAGGCGCTCTTTGTGTCATTTAACGGCATGGTTTACGATATCTTCTCTTACAGCCACCCTGGTGTCTCCATCCAAGGGGCAGCCGGAACGGATTTGAGCAAATACTTCCCTCGCTTTGACATGGTCACAAATCAACCCATTTACGGAAGGTGTGGCTTCATTCGATACGTTGACCCATCTACTCTCAACCGTCGTCAGGCTAACAACTTTGACAATGGTACTCACGCTCTCTGCAACACGGGACTCGCTGACACCCGGGTTACTGTCATCGTGCTTTTGAGACTGTCGATCTCATTAAGAACCGTCGTATCAATGTCTTTCAAGTCGGTATGCTCGCGTACAGTCAAGGCCAGGTTAGGGAGCATTACAAGGTGGATGACGGATGGGTTACCATCAAAGACAAAGTTTACAACTTCACCGCTCTCTTCATGCCCGATAGTCCTTACCGTATTGATCCTGCTGGATTTAACATCAGGGATCTTGGACCTCCCGGTGGTGATGCATCCGTCAACGCTACCGCGCTCGCGAGGGCAATTGATTGCTTTGACAACTTGTTCCTTATTGGATATATTGACCGTCGTGCCTCTGACGCTGGGTGCAATTCATCAGCTTACATTCTGTACGGTGTCACCGGTGTCATGGTCTCTGTTTTGTTGATCAAGTTCCTCGCCGCTCTCCAGCTTGCGCCAAGGTCTTACCCTGAGAAGAATGACCGTTTTGTCATCATGCAAGTGCCTTGTTACAATGAAGGCGAGTCGTCTCTCCGCAAGACCATTGAGTCTCTTGCTACATTTGATTACGATGACACCCGAAAACTCTTGTTCATTGTTTCCGATGGTATGATCAAGTCGGCTGGTAGTGATATGCCGACTTCCGATATTGTTCTTCAAATTCTTGGTGTCGACAAATCTGTTCAAATCCCTGAAGCAAAAAGCTACCTCGCCATTGCAAAAGGTGCAAAGGAGCATAACAAGGCAAAAGTCTATTCCGGTCTCTACAGTATCCAAGCTCGTTACATTCCTTTCATCTTTGTCATGAAGTGCGGAAGAGAGGGCGAGACTGAAAGGCCTGGAAACAGAGGAAAGCGTGATTCTCAGATGATCTTGATGAAGTTCCTTAACCGTGTTAACTTTGGATCGCCTATGACACCGCTTGAGTTGGAAGTTTACCACCATATCAAGGACATTATTGGTGTTGACCCCTTTTTGTATGAGTACTGTCTTATGGTTGACGCTGACACGAGAGTTCATGAGGCCGCGCTCAATATTCTCATTTCTTGCATGGTGAATGATGCCAACACTATGGGTATTTGCGGTGAGACTCAGATTGAAAACGAGAAGGAGTCTTGGGTGACGATGATGCAGGTGAGATATTTTTCGTGATTCAACTACGTTTCCCTTGCGTTTTATCTAATATACTCACTTTTTATCAGGTTTACGAGTACTACATCAGTCACCACCTCGCAAAAGCTTTCGAGTCTCTCTTTGGCAGTGTCACCTGTCTTCCCGGATGTTTCTGCATGTACCGCCTGCGTACCCCTAAAAAGGTCCCGCTTCTTATCGCCAACCAAATCTTGAACGAATACAAGGACATCAACGTTAACACACTCCACAAGCAGAACTTGCTATCGCTCGGCGAGGATCGATTCTTGACAACCCTCATGCTCAAGCACTTCCCCGAGTACAGAAACAAGTTCACTCCTGATGCTATCTGCTTCACCATTGTCCCGGATACGTTCAATATGCTTCTCGGTCAACGTCGTCGTTGGATCAACTCAACCGTTCATAACTTGTTTGAACTGTTGTTCCTCCCAACACTCTGTGGATGTCTTTGCTTCTCCATGCGTCTCGTTGTCTTCCTTGACTTGTTCGCCACCTTGATCATGCCCGCATCAACCGCGTATCTCGGGTACCTCATTTACGCGTCAGTTCAAGCCCAACAGGCTCCCGTCATCTCTCTCATTATGATGGGTGCCGCCTACGGTCTCCAAATCATCATTTTTGTGTTGAAACACCAGTACCAACACATTGGATGGCTCATCATCTCTATCCTCGCTCTCCCCTTCTTCAGTTTGTACATTCCATTGTACGCTTACTGGCACTTTGATGACTTCAAGTGGGGTAACACTCGTAAGGGTGCTGCCGTTGAGGAGAAGGAGGGCCATGGTACCGTTGATCCGGATGAGGAGGCATTTGACCCGAAGACCGTTCCTTTGATTACTTGGGAAGAGTATGAGCAATACCGTCTCAAGAATAGCCAATACAACCGTCACTCTCTTGGCAGCACTGTTGTGTCATCGCAAGACCCCAACAACCCCCACAATCGGTCCGGGTCGAACGGTCCTTCACCAAGAGGACAATTACACCTGACTCCGGGATCTGAGTACGGCAGGTCCGAGTACGCTGAAAGCATCAGAAGCTCAGCAGTTGTAAGGCAGGGTGGCGCAAGTCGCATGCCTGTGAATCGTGTCGGATCTGACATGGCGCTGGATAAGTGGGTTGGCGCATCGACGGACTCCTTCCTCATGGGTGCAACAAAGCCGTGGCCGGGAGGTGTTCCGACTGATGCTGATATTGTCAGGCAGATTCGTTACATTCTTGGAACATCAGATCTCCAGGACTTATCTAAGAGGAAGGTTCGGGAAACACTTGGTCTTTACTTTGGGGTGGACCTCACGGAGAGAAAAGTGTTCATCAATGAACACATTGAGTTGGCACTTCAGGGAAAGATTTAGATTGTCGTCTTATTAGACCGCCTTGATTGTGGTTTCAATTTTTTTTTTTGCATCTTTAGCCTCCCATGTTTCCCCTACCCTCCTCACATATAAACGCACACACTATTTTTTGTTCCCGTTACCAGGGATAACTTGTTTCTTCTTCTTTAAAGTTTCCGATTTTCTTCCATCGTACCCTTTACACTAGATCCAGAAACTTATTTTATCAAAGTGGTAACTCCCACACATGTGTGTTAATTAAACTATAAAACTTTATGTGTTGAACGAGTATCGTTTATTATCAGTGTCAAAACTAGCACACGATTGAGACGGAAAAACAAAAAAAATACCGTTATCTAAGATACGATATAGTGGTTGATGGAGGTTACCGGCATGTAGTTCCTTAAATGTTTAACGCGATTCTCGTGTTTTCCTGCAATTAGCATAAAGGAACGAGATAATGAAATCTTTGTTTTTGTTTTTTTCGTTACGAAGCCTTTGTTCCTTAAGGAAACTCTACCCCGCCCTTTTACCACTACCTTTCTTGGTGCCAGCAGCATCAAACTTGGTTACACAAAAAAGTTGTGTGGAATCAAAAATGTAAGAGCACCGAACCAGGGTTGATCTGGTGACCTGCTGGTCTGCAATCAGCCGCTCTACCACTGAGCTATCGGTGCTTTTTCAATGTCACGGAAAAACCCTTTTACCTGCGGATATTATCAAAATCCTCGTACCACCCTTTAATCTTACTTTTTCCACGATCAATATTTCCATGAGTGAAATTCTTTCCTTGTTTTCGTTTTCTTTTTTCCATCTTCACTTTAAATGGCTAACTTCTTTTCCACCTTTATTTCTTTCCTGTTTTGTCATCCATCGTCGACCCCTATCTAGCACCGGTCGACCCTCGCCTTCTCATGATGAGGACATCGACAACGTCGTTTAACGACGAAACGTCGCCTTAGTCTTCTGAAGAAGGACCCTCCTTTTTCCACGACGCTTATCTTTCTTTCGCGTCCCTTCTTTCACTCTTTTACGCGCTTTTTCCTTTTCCTTCCTTTTTACGCGTCTTTTCTTACCTTTGTTTCTTTTCCTCGCTATAAAAAGGACAGCTGGAAATATCAATAAAAAGTATCTAGAAAACTATCTTCTTTATTGTTAGCAATATCACAATATTCCTCGGAACTTTCTCCAATTAAGGACGTTCCCTCACAATTGGTAGCACTTCGAAAAACAATCCCTCCTCCATCCCTCTTGACCACCTCACGTCAACATGTCCCATCAAGGCTCTCCCGAACCCGCTCTCCTCAACCAGGTTGCTCATGTCGTTACCAGCCTCCAAGAACAGATTGCCTCCCTTCAGGCAAGGCTTGATCAAGTCTCCTCGGTCCCTCAAGAGTCTGATCAAGATTCCAGTCCAAGACTCCCAGAGTTCCGTATCAGTCTCGCAGGCCTCCCACCTTCAACGGTGACCTTCGAAAGAAACCCGCTCACGAAGCCCAAGCCGCTATTGACGAATACCTCCATCAATCTGCAGAAGACGCCCGGCTTTACGACTTCCTTGGAGACTTTGAGGAACCAAGATACCGCAATCAGAAGACCTACGTTGATTGGATCTCCACCGGCCTCGACGGCATTGCGCTCACCTACTGGCGAAGAATCGACCCCGATACTCGACACTCCATGACATGGTCTGACTACTGCAAGTGGGTTCGCGACGCCTTCTCGTCCTCCCTCACCCTCCAACAAGCTTTGGATGCTCTCGACAAGATCGAACAGAAGAAGGCGGCCACACTCTACTCGCAGCAGTTCAACGAATTAGTGGCAGCCATCGAAGGATCCGGTATCATTTACCCTGAAGTCATCCTCTGTTACAAGTACCGACGTGGTCTCAAGTCCATCCTGCGTACCAACGAAGACCTCTTCCAAATCCAGAACGACCTCGTTCGTCTTCAGAGAGAAACCGAACGGCTCGACGATTTCCACTGGCGTGAAGGAAACCACTCCCGTGACAGCAAGGGTAGAGACCAGCAGGGTCATCGGCGGAATTTTCGACCTAGAGACAAGCCAACTAACCAAGGACCCGCTCCCATGGAAATCGACAATACACAAGCCACTCGTACCAGGCTTACCGAACAAGAAAAACTCACCTATCGCAACAACGGTTGGTGCACCTACTGCCGTTCACACGATCACAAGTACGAGGACTGCAACGCCCCCGGTATTCGTCGCCCAAAACAAAGCCGCTCCAACAACTTCGAGCTACGAGGACGACGAGGAAGAAGAAGAAGAAGAGCTCACCGTCGGCAACAGCCGACAGGCTGGCTCTCAGACTTAAAGACCCAGTGACGCGCGCTCCCTCTGGGCTGAACCCAAGTCCAGAGGTCGAGCGCGCAAAGTCAACAGTGGACCCGCGAACCCACTGGTGACGATGCCCTCCTCGCAAACACCTCTAAAAGACCTCATCAACACTCCACCTTAGCAAGCCATCACCTCAGGCCTCAAGAATCTTACGAAAGCCTTCTCGTCATTCAAGGCACGATCAACAACCGAACCGCCAAGATCCTTATAGACGGAGGAGCCACTCACTCCTTCGTCAAAGAATCCCTCGCTTATTCGGTCTCATCCCCACTAAGAAGACAAGTTCAATAAAACTCGCCGCACCCACCTCAAGAACGGTTCGCGGACGCCTCTTTAAGAACCTTACCCTCAACATCGACCGATACCGTCACTCAAGATTTTGTTTCCGCCCCTATCGCTTACGATGTCATCCTAGGGAAGGACTGGTTAACTGCAATCAACCCTCGCATCGACTGGAAAAAACACCGTCATGTTCGCCGACCATCGTTGGATCTGCAAGGACTACACCCCCATCCAAGTCGATCACATCTCGGCCAAGACCTTCAATAAACTCGCAAAACAGCCTGGAGCAAGAATCGGAGTCGTCAACATCAAGGACCTCGCGGAAATGCTATCCGCCTCCTGTCACACCTCTCTCGACGCGTCTCCCCCTCCAGAGCAAGATCACATACTCAAGACCACAAGCGACGCCAACGACAAGGACGCTCAGGTTCTCGCAACCTCCCAGACAATATCAAGCAATGGTCAAGGAATTCCCCACCGTCTTCTCGGAATACATTGGCACTCCTCCTTCACGTCCTTTCAATCACAAGATCGAGCTCGAGGACCGCAGCAAACCCCGCATCGCCCCATCTACCCCTCTCAGAAGAAGAACTCGCATCCTCAAGAAAGAGCTCGAGTTTCTCCTCGACAATGGGAGAATAAGCCATCATCCTCAGCATACGGCGCTCCATCTTCTACATCGCCAGGCCGGCAAACAGTTAGTCATCGATTACCGCGCCCTAACAAGAAACAGTCAAGAACAGAACGGCTCCCAAATATCACCGAAATCCTCGACAGGCTTCGTAAGGCAAGTATTTCTCAAAGCTCGACCTCGCTTCTGGATATCATCAAATTCGCATCACCCTGAAGATACCCACAAGACGCCTTTCGCACCAAGTACGGCCACTTTGAATGGGTCGTTATGCCTTTCGGTCTCGCAAACGCCCCAGCCACCTTCCAGTCAATGGTCAACAGCATTTTCAAGACTACGTCGACGAGTTCCTCATCGCCTACATGGACGACATCTTGGTATTTCAGAAACACAGGAGGAACATGAAGAGAACACTTACGCAAAGTCTGGCCCGACTTCAGGAAACAACTTCATTGCCGCCTTCACAAGTGCGCCTTCTTCACTTGAAGTCGAATACCTAGGATTCCACGTTTCTCGCGGTCACCTAGAGGTCCTTCCATCACGAGTTAAGGCTATTCAAGATTTCGATCCTACCTCCTGGACAGAACTTCGCTCCTTCATAGGTCTCGCAAACACGATTCATCGATTCATCTCTCGACACGCCAGCCTTCTCGCCCCTCTGACTGAACTCCTAAGAGGTGCCGGAAACAAGAAACGCCCCGCTCCTTCATCTGTCTCCAGCAAGTCAAGCGGTCTTCGAGAAGGTCAAAGAGCTCTCATCTCCCCTCAAGTCCTCAGTCTCTTCGATCCAACAAGACCCGTTCATCTCTACACGACTGGTCCGAATCAGCCGTCGGCAGTTACGTCGCCCAACCTGATGACGAGGACACGAAGTACCCATCGCCTACGCGTCAAGAAAATGCAACGTCAGCGAACGCAATACCATCCATATCTCGGAGAAATCCTCGCCTGGTTGAAGCCTTCAGAACTCACCGTCACTACATCACGGGACGACAGGTCAAGGTGTTCACGGATCATCGCTCCCTCAATACATCCTGGACCAACCCAAGCTCCGTCCCGTCCACCATCGATGGCTGGCAGACCTCCTTGCCCAAGACTTCGTCATAGAATGGACGCCAGGAAACTGGAACACCATCGCTGACGCTCTCTCCAGAGACCACATGCCAAGGACGCCGCCACCGATCCTCACGTCTCGTTGAATTCCCTTTCGACCATCACCAATGACATTCTAGACGACATCAAGAACGCCCTACCAACGGATGAGTTCTTCAAAGACATCAACACCTATCTTGACGACAACGTAAACCCCAAGGCCGATTTTCGCCAACTCAAGATCCCAAAGCATCTGAAGACGGCGTTGCGTTACTTTCTCAGGGGACTTCTCTACTACACGGCGGGAACGACCTTCGGCTTTACGTCCCTCTCATCCGTCAACGCTCATCGTCTGCTCACAACGAAGGACCAGTCATCCACAACAACTGGGAACGAACGTCGGAAAGAATCTCGAACTACCACTGGCCACGACTCCATCATGATGTAAAACGATACGTCAAGTTCTGCGACTCCTGCCAACGCAACAAGGTCGCCGCCACCTCCCTACGGCTTTGGAGCCTCACAATGCCCCCGACATCGCTGGGAAACCGTTTCTATCGACTTCATGGGCCCCATGCCGACTACTCTCGACACAACTCGATTACATCATGGTTGTCGTTGACTCAGCATCAAAACGCGTCACATTGCTGCAACAAACACCACATCCACCGCTCAGACATCGCTGAACTCTTCCTACGGACAGTATGGCGACACCACGGCCTCCCAAAACACATCATCAGTGATCGAGACTCCAAATTCATCAGCGACTTCTGGAACGCTGATGAAGTCCCTCCGCGTCAAGCAGACCATCTCCTCCTCCTTACCATCCTCAAACCGACGGCCAAACTGAAAACAAGAATCAGTGGATCATCCAAGCCCTCGCGAGTTCGTCCACTTCTACCAAAACGATTGGGATCAGTACTTGCACATCGTTGAACACGCCATCAACGACACAATGAACGCTTCGACAGGCTACACACCTTTCATGCTCGACACCGGACGACATCCACGCTCCCTCCTCGATCTCCCTCACGCCAATGGATCCCATGCCTCTCCGAAACCTTAGGACCTGGTACTCCAAGCCAAGATCGCCATTCAAGACGCTCAAGACCGGCAAGCCGAACAAGCAAACCGACGAAGACTGGAAGACCCCTTTCAAGTCGGCGACCTCGTTCTCCTCCACGCCAAAGACGTTTTCCACCAAACGCTCGAGATCGACCATCCAAGAAGCTCGGCCCAGTGTACACCGGTCCCTACAAGATTATTGAACGCGTCGGCACATCCTATCGCCTCGAGCTCCCTCAGTCCTGGGGT